CGCTGCGACGTTGCGGCCACCGCGCGCCTCCGTCATCGAAGGCGAACGGCACACGGCTAATTGTACGAATCCCGATGAGCCAGTAGATTTATTGGAGTGAAACACGTGACAGCGTCTCACAGGCGTCCATTCTAGGTGCCACCTGTCTCTATACGATGCTCTAATTCGCCCACTGAGTAGTAGCTTCCACAGTTTGCTAAGTGTGCCCATAGGCAACCAGCAATGCAGCTTGGCACTACACGTTGCGCCATCTAGTGACTGAAAAATAAAACAAATTGGGTAGTCCAGGACGGCCCGGGGGCCCGGGTCGCGAGCACTGCGGGCGGGCGGCGCATTTAGAAACCACGTGTGAACGTGGCATTTTGGATCGGCGTGAGCCTTTTTGAAACATTTTTTTTTTTCGTAAAAATAAGTCTCAACTTCACGTCTCTATGACCTTTCCGGGTTCCTGTGACATCCCCCTAAGCCTAGAGTTTCCCCCCAAAATAAACGCCGCTACTGCTGCGTGAAAGACTGCCACAGTCGCGAAGGTTACCCAAGCGTCAGACTTTACCGCTTCCCTTTAAGATCTTGGGAAGCGACACGGCGACAAAGTGGATTACTAGAGTGCGATGCATCAAGTAAGTGAATTTTACATTAATTGTTGAAGTGAACGAAAATAGATATGCAGGCTTGGAAAGTGGTCTGCTAGACTCCTTTTGCAAAATAACGTATTTATACAAGTTGTTTTACGAGTCTCTGAGACAGCCATTTAGAGAAATACAGTAGCAAAAAATCGGGCCGATTGTTGCTTCGCTTTGACGTCGAGAATAAGGCGATCAGGTCTTCAAGCGAGATGCCCTTCGACCTGTTCCGGCACTCGCAGTTGTAGGCGTGCATTTAGTTGCGACCGCGCGCGCCGTTCGGCACGCGCGGTCGCAACCAAAAGCTTTTAAGCATGCAAGTTTTCAAATACTGTAGTGGATTTTCGTAGAACAAATTTTTGTTTGTTTCGGATACCAAATTTAATGCTGAGTCTGGTAACAAATGTGACGGCGTGCAGAAAACAGGAGGCACATTTTTTTTTCCAAGGAAAAGCTCATGCGAAGCCGTAAATATCCTTCTCACACGCACACTTTTTTGCCTGTCGCCTTTTTACACCAGGCTCGTGCACTGTTCTCTAGCACGCAGAGTTTGGTTCTAATTGCCCACATTTTATTCTAGCGTCGTGGGGGCGTCGGGAGAAGAGGACGGTCGAGCGAGGCGCGAGCGGGGGCCAGCCGGCGAGGAAAGAGGAAGAGCCTGCTGCACGAGGCTGGAGCCGGGCAGGAACGATAGAGCCGTTCTGGCTGGTCCGGCTCATGTCGGTCCCCGGAGCATTCCACCGGCGAACTTCGGATCAGGACCGGCGGAAACGGCGAGCCTGGCCTTATCGGCCTAGTCCATGACGGTCCAGGAGTGGTTCCGCAGCGAAACTCTGGCTGTGATAGCCCGGAACAGCTAGCGTGCGCAGTGCGTGGGAAGGACGATCCGCAGGCGTGAACACGGACTGCGACTGCGAGCTATGAACGACAGGTGACATCTAGGGTCGGCGAGTCCGGACTGCCGGCTCTCGAAGACGGGCAACCGGGAAGTACAGTAAACCCATTCGCTGCCTTCTCGTTGTGTTGTGTCACTTCCTGGGAGACGAGCGAATCACAGACCGATCGGGCGGCGGTTATTATAGAGCGACCCCGCAAGTGCACGAAGACAGTTCAAACTGGTGTCCAAATGACAACTTCAGATTATGCTCTAAACACTTCGACCTATCAAGGCTCCCGATGATCTTAAAAAACCGCGTACAATGAACAGGGACATGGCACGCACATGCACACGGGGACTGCTGAAATCGGGGTCGCCGCTGCTCGCCACGGCCCGACGGGCAGACTGGCCGACCCATTAACAGACACCTCCACTTGTGGCGCTGAATGCAGATTTCTCGTGGCGCCGCCTGGCCATTGTCGGCTGGCTATCATGCACTTGCGCCATCTTGCCCCAAACGACACTTAAAAGCATGATATCTCACAATTTGAAAGACCTCACTCGAAGCTTCGATCGATCATGACACCGCCTTTGTTGCACTTCCTGAGTGATGACTTATTTGCGAAAGGTACGTTGAGGTGCGCGGAAAAAATAAAATTCCGGGTGCTGATGAGGATCATGCGAGTCATTTAATTTTATTGCAGCCGTGCGAACGTTATAGCTTACGCAATCATAAAATTCTGTGCCCACTGACACCAACTTGACAACAGGAACCTTCTTGACAACAAGATCCACACGAACCTTTCTATGCCACAGAGAGATGAGCGCTAACCGTTTGGAGCGCTCCCCCAACTCCGACGTTACCGCGCCGCCTCGAGGCGCCATCAGTCCGTTGGCGTCTCGCCGCCTGCCGTGAAGCGAAGAGCGAACGCCGAGGACAGACGAAAGCGAACCCCCCCCCCCCCCCCCCCTCCCCATACCCCCTCTGCCCTCTACAGCTGGTTGAGACATTGCGGAGGGCGCTGGCAAGAAAGAGCCTGCAGGAACAAGCACCTCTCCCCCTCCTCCTCCTCCGCCCTCCATAGGAACCGGCGCGCTTACATGGCGAAGGAGAAGTCGAGCGACACCCAAACCAACCCTGACGGCCTGAACCCCACGCAGTAGTTGCGAAGCGAGCGTCTTCTCGCCCACTAAGACGGCCCGGGAGCTCACGTGACCAAACCAGCTAATACCAGCGCTCATCGCGACCCATCGCGGCCATGGTCCTCAGACTCACGTCATCACGCAGACTAATGCGATCACCGAACTCATATCCACCCTAAGACTCACGTCTTGATTCAGGCTCATGCTCATGAGCCTCGAAACTCACAATCACACTCAAGAGACCTCAAAACTCACACTCATGAGTACTTCACTTAGCGCTCAAGCTCACACTCACACTCAAGAGTTTTAAGAACTCACAATCACACTCACGATCAAACTCACGCTCACGAGTTCGCAGGGCTCACACTCGCACTCACACTCATTAGTTCCCAGAACTCGCGATCACACTCACGATCAGACTCACGCTCATCAGTTCTCAGGACTCGCACTCACACTCACACTCATGAGTTCACGTAACTCACGATCACACTCACACTCACACTCACAATTTTCCGAGACTCGCGGCCTCACTCACGATCACCTCAAATCTCACGGTGAGCGTGAGTGATCGTGAGTGATCGCACTCATGAGTGAGAATGCCGAGGTATGCTCTCATGACGTCATTACCCTGTGAACAAGTTCGATGGTGTTTGTAATTAGCAGGGTGGAAGCTGGAAATCATTGCGTTTTTAAGTCAATACTGCCAACATGTCAAAATTTAAGTTCTTACATTATTCTTATTTCCGTTGATGAGGAATCCTTTACTGACGCCAAAGTCAGCATTCGGCCAATCGTGGAGGGCCGACCACCGCGACGCTTTCGATCGGTCACGTCGCCAATAGTGAGTATTTACTGGCGGTCATAGCTGTGTGCGCGAATGCTGAGAGCGTGCTGATGGCGAGCTTCCACAGTTATTTTGCAACGTGCATTCCGCACCATCATGGCGGACACAATTCCCTCCTCAGTTTTGTCGTTCTGATCGGCGAGTTGCGGCGGGAAAGGGGGGAGGAGGGTTGGAATGCTAGCGTTTTCAGCCCAGTTTATCAGTTTCCATTCTTCACACCACCGAAGATAAATTTAGCAATCTCTACGTTTGACACGAAAGCATTTAATGACAAACTGTCGTTAAAACAAACTGATCCCCTGCTCCCTTCCCTCCCTTCGGAGCTGACGCCACAGCGCCGCATCGTAAAAGCCCGCCTTATTCGTCACGTGACACTCGCGTCTGGCGCCAAGGATGAAGCCCCGGGATTTCTCCGTCGTGTGGATACCGCCTTAGCCTTCCATTCACACGATCATAAAGGTACCTTTCGCCACGGCCGGGCTAGAGAGCGGCTTTGCTCACCGCCTTGCTTTCGATGTAGAAGCAATGGGAGTTTCTCTACCACGTGGGGGCGCGACAACGCCACCCCTCCTAGGGTGCCCACATGTCTGTCTGTCTCAGGGTGAAGACATCCATTGTTGTTCTGAATGTGTCAGCGCGTGACGCTCTGGCGCACTCGGTGCGTGACTTAGGTGGTAAAATGGCGTCTATGCATTAGCCAAAGCTACGTGCCCGAGCTGAGTGACACCGGATTGCGCGCACATCAAAATGCATAAAAAAACGATTGGGCGGAAAAATGGCCGAGATGTCACCACTCAAGAAGAAGCGCGCGTGTGTATGAAGGCACTTTAAAGGCCGGTTTTCACTTGCAGCGAAGCGCTGATGTAGCGCTCCTCACGTGTCGTCAGCTACTTATCGTCTGCCATGAGCAACAGTTTTGACGGTGCGATACAAAGCTGGTGAACGCTGCCGTCAGCACGCGCTAAGCGCGAGGTTAGCGCTATGCTTGTAGCGCTCCGCTGCATGTGTGAACAGGCCTTAACCCCTCCTAGAGTTCCTGTATAGGCTGCCTACGGGAGCCAGAGTTGCGCGTCTGTTTTCCAGGTTCCGCCGCGCCGCTATTCGCCGAGATCCGATCACGTGAGCCGGATCAAGTGCCGTGCAGGAAAGTAGACGTTGCCGTGCCCCCGGCGTACGTTCCCCTGCTTTTGAGCACGCCGCGCGCCTCGAACGCGCGGCGCCGCTAGTCGCCGAATTAAGTCACGTGACGAGCGGGATCAACATGCCGTGCAGGAAAGACGGCGCTACAGGGGTATTCACACGAGGGAGAAATCCCGGGGATTTCTCCCCGGCACGCGCGCATCACGAGATGAAAACGCGAGGCTTTTGCACATCGAAACGCCTGAGGTTTTCGTCCTGGCATGCGCGTGCCGGGGAGAAATGCCCGGGATTTCTCCCTCGTGTGAATACCCCTTTACGGAGATAAACGCGCAACTCTGGCTCCCTTATGGCGCATTCACACTGGATGCGGATCCGCGTTCGCGAAGCGTTTGCGGATGCGGTTGGCGAACGGCTCCGTTCACATACACCAGAACGCGATCGGCGGTTTCTCGGCGGTTACCGATTGCTTCGCCATCTTTCGAGACTTTCGTTTGGCAACCATGTTTTACAATCCAAAATCCACTCTGCTCTACAATCCAAACTGAAGCCGAATCCTCTCGGCTTGCGGCTTGGAAAGAAACATGGACGACTCCACGAGCGACGGCAGTGACGAAGAAGCTGTTGCAGTTGCTTTGGTGACGCTAGTTTTGGCGTCCGCTGAAAGAAGCGAGCGGCGTCGTCCTCGTAGATGGTGGGTCCGTCCTTGCTTCCGTGACCGTGACGAGAATGGACAGGGGGCGAACCTCGTTCCCCTTCTTCGCGAGCGGGACCTTGAGTACTACCGGGAGTAAGTAATTCGTTCGCTTTTGCATTGCCTACTCACGTAAAGACAACATTCCAGATCGATCATGCATATGACGTTATTTTACCAGCTTCCTGAGGATGCCTCCCAGCGCCTTCGATACAATCCTCGGCTTGATCGGCGACAGAACCAGGAAAGAGGACACGAACTTCCGCAAGGCCATTCCTCCGGACGTGCGCCTCGCCCTCACCATCAGGTAATTGCCAGCGAAGTAGGGAGCATTAGATTGAATGCGGGATATAAGGAAAAATGTGTAGTCATGCAAAGAATGCAGACGCATGTACAGCCTCCAAAGTTTTTAACGATGTCGCGCGAACGCCGACCGGCTGGTAGATCAACACGAAATAGGAAATCAGCGAGGCTAGGCGTCCGTGTACGCCTCCACCGGCCGGTCGGCGTTCGCGCGATATTGTTGAAAAATCTGGAGGCTGTACTTTCGTAATTACCGGGTTGTACCGAAGTACGTGTCATTTCTAGCCGTCGTGAGTTCTCTCTATCTCGTTGATGATGGGACAGCCAATAATACAGATGCAAGAGAGCACACATCGTTGACGCAAAAATTTGGAAATTAAAAAAAAAAATGGGAATTGCTCCATGTTGCTATTATGGTTTAGTCTGCGCCTGTTTATAGACGCGTTCTTTTGCCTCTGTGACAACACATTCCCAGCAGTCGGGGAATATTCTGATTTGTGGTGATGTTAAGTGTACTACTGCTTTCAATATGAATGTACTAATTAAATTCTGCCCAATGTATACTTGGCAGAAATCTCATTTCTTTATTACTGCTCTTTTTTTTTTCTTCTTTTTATTAAGGTTTCTTGCCGCTGGGGAGACGTTGAGAAGCGTATCCTAGAACTTCTTGACGGCAAGGTCAACATGCTGCGAGATAATACCCGAGGTATGCAGCGCCCTCTGGGAGGTGCTTGGGCCTGTCTATGTGGCATGCCCAAAACAGCCCGAACAGTAAAAAAAGGTAACTTTTTTTTTTATATCACCACTGCTCACCTCCTCTCTTCTTTGTGCACGGGTAATATAAATAGCGATCATGCAAAGCTCTAGAAAAATGTTCACCTGGTGTAACTTTGCCCAATTGCAGTGTAATTTTCGTTGTTCTGTGGGGGGAACAATGCTGGTGTGACACGAATCAGTGGCCGTGTGTGTTAGTGCACCGCAGCTCAGAGCACGTGGAGCGAAACCTTGTGCTGTATAATACAGGGATCCTGTAATTAATCACCACCCCTACCCATTTCGATCAGATTGGATGAGCATCATACCGGCGTCTGGCCGTGTATGACTACTGTGTTATGCTCGTTAAAGACCCCAGCATGAGCTTCCGGAAGTGGGTAAAAGCACGGGAGGCAGCTGAAATGAAGAGCTGACTTGGTGCCAACAGCTGCTTTGGTCACGCTTGGGAGGGTCCTTGGAGGGGGAATAAACTTAAGCAGCTGTTGGCACCAAGTCGGCTCTCCTTTTCGTCCGATAGCGTCTCTTGGTTTTGGTCATTGTTGGGGGCGTGTACCTCTGTAGCGTCATGTCGACTCCAGAAGCCTCCTCCTCCATGTATGAAACAAACATGCTTCTAAGGTGCTTGAGGCGTGTCCACAGATTATTCGCTCATCGCCTCTGCAGCGAATAACGTATGTTTTGCATGATGTATGAGCAGTGCGACTGCGGCTTTATGGTTCCTACTTGTGATGGCGTAATAATGCGGAGAGCAAGTTCACCTGCCTGCTTCTTGCACAGGGGCTGCGTTGATGTCAGAACGCCGAGCTCGTATTGGCTGGTTGAAAATTGAAAAAAAAATAGGGAGTAGACCTCGAGGTATCTACATTCAGGTCTCCTACTATCCTTTCAAAATTCAGTCGAAGCCAATTAGAGCTCGGTTTCGTTCTGACATCACCACAACTTCTGCACAAGAAGCAGACAACTTGCTCTCTGCATAGGGTTATCAAATGTGAACGACAAGCTGTACAGTTTTGAGTGCTGCAACACTCAAATATTTTCTGCCAATGAAAAATTTATGAGGTACATAGACTATTTCTCATGTCTCGTGCTGAACAATTCTTCTGTGCATCCTAGCAGGCTGAAGCTTTCAAGGAGAATAAGAAGTAATGTTGAATCTTTATTTTTTCCTTTTTCAATAGATCGCCACTGAATTCGAAGAAAGGTGGAACGTTCCAAACTGTGTGGGAGCCATAGACGGCAAGCACATCACTATCGAGTGCCCTTCACTCTCTGGCAGCCTGCATCGGAACTACAAGGGATCTTTCAGCAAGTCCTTGTTGGCAATTAGTGATGCTAAGTACCGGCAAGTTTCGATTTTTTATTACTAAACGTTAAGTTAATGTACAAGGCAAAAGATATGCATATACAGAATAAAGACGACAAATCCCCTACTTTAAGACAAATTATCAGGGAAAGTAGATATAAAAAAAATATCAGGTTGAAAAAAGAAACACAACTGCTCAAAACCGAAACCGGACTAGGGAGGAAGAAGAAATATAGAGGAGGACAGAGTTGGCAGAAGTCACGTGCCTGTGCAACTTGTTTTCTTCAGTCACCATATTTGCGGCTTTTTAGAAGCCACAAAAAATGGGTATCATAAACCATAGAAAACAGCACATGACCATAAAGAAGAAAGTGGGTGCGACTCGAACCGGTCAGTTCTTGATTAGCGGTTTTCGGGCGGAAAGAAACCGAATTTTGAGCCGCAAATTGTGTTCTGGGTTGTTGGGCTCTTGTATGTCATGTACAAATAAAAACCTTGGCAAGCATAAATACCCCGTCAGTGTCCCTTTAAAGGGCAACTCCGCTCAATTCCAAGAATTTTGGTATATTGAGTTATTTCACATTAAACAGCACTAATAAAGGGCACTACGTTATTTCCTTTGTGAAAAATTAGATCTATATTGTACAATCTTATTTTATACATGAGCAGAAATCAAAACCGAAACTTTGGCTTTGTCAGAACGTTGGCCTCGGGCCGCCAAAGACGTGGTACGAAATGTCACATGATCCTCTACGCAATGACGGGCGGCCCCCGGTGGGGCGGGCGTACGCCAGGCGAAAGCGTTATCTGCACCACACTCCACCAATTTTTGGTGTCTACTACATTGAACGAAGGGGTCACAACTTTGGCATCAGTCTTTGCACGTGATGTGAACAAGCTCCCAGACATAATATTCACAAACGGTGAGAGTGAGATGACGACGAAAGTTGTGACTAGGGTGACCACTTTCCTGCCGGCGGAATCCGGGACACCCTGACGGGGGGAGGGATGGGGGGGAGGGGGGAGAGTAAGAAAAGGACGGTATGTTCACGACCCAAGAAATAAGAGTATTAAGGGAAATTCACCAACGCGCACATCCCGAAATCCTGTGCTGTCTGAAAGCGTATTATGCACCTGAAAATTGTACGCGGCAATTAAACTAAGATAAGTATCACTCACAGTGATATACTTTTGTTTATTTGTAATCGTATCTAAGTTGAAAACATAAAGATCGACTGCACCAGACAGCAATGCATCAAAAGGAAATAAAAAACAGTAACTATTTTTCGGCTTATTGTTTACTGTCGATACTTACTCTTATATTAATATGCTCCTACACAAAAATAAAACCTTATGTTTTTTTGTTTGTTTTTTACCGTTGTGAGTTGCAGGTTTTTTGCCTTCTGTGGCCGTCTTCACTAAAAACAAAGAAGAGCTTTCCGCAACAACCTTTTCTCATGATACAGTAGGATTTCCAACTAATTACAATAGTTTATTTTTCAGCTTTTGGCGAGCAATTTTCGCTTGCAATATTTTGCCATCAAGGGGAGAGGCACAACGGCGCATGTGCGTCAGGTCTCCTGCAAGAACGAAGGTTGCGTGGTCACCCTAGTTGTGACGCAGGAAACGGAGGAGACGGCCGGACGGCTCCCAAGAAGCACACTGCGTAGGCATGATACGATAATCACGTGAACGCCGCTGAGCACTGAGAGGACATGTTGCAGGCGTAGCATGTTATGCTCGCCGAAAGTGTTAAAGGGGTAGTGCAACAATTTTAATGTTGAAAGAATGGGCACCTTGTATTTTTTATAATGTTTATGAAAGCTCAAGTAACCAAAAACGTGTCTACTTGCCCCGAAAATCTGCTATTCCGCTGCGTAAATGCAAAGAAAATACTAATTATTTGCTGCTCTGCAGTCGCGTGTCGCGCTTACGGGAACTACGATGACATTGTCTCTGGGTATATGTGAAAGTCAACCAAACCTGTTCCCCCCTGCTGCCACACTCGCTGTCAGCCGAGTGGCGAGCCGTCTTTTGTGTCGATCGCTCGCCGCAAACCTTCAACGATGCTAATCCTTTACAAGTCGATAGCTGCGGAAAAAGCAGCTGGCGTCTCTGAAGCGAGTACCGATGCACATAGAGTGAAAGCTCAAGCTGCGGAGCCCAGCAAATCATGGGTTGAATCCCCAACTCTGCCCGGTTTGATCTATATTAGCATTGTACTTGCATGCGGCCAAATATCATTGCTGTGTGGTGCTGAATAAAGGGATAGTGAAACGAAATTAGGATTTCAGAAAACAATGCAGGAGCTGTAGGCGGGGCGCTGCAATCCCTACAAAACTACTCGTAAGGTGATATCTTGAATGGACAGCCGTATTTTCGTAAAAAGAGATTGAGATTGAACGAGGCCGACGAGGTGAGTGATGTGAAGATATCTCGTTTCCTCCTCTCTTTGCTTTGCCCCCTCAAGGCGGCGAGGCGGAGAACACGCGAGGCCGTTCCCTCTCCTTCTCGGATAATCAAGACGTAAACATTTCTGTCAAATGCGCTTCTTTTTTTTTCTTTTTTGTTTTTTTTTTGGGGGGGGGGGGAGGGGGGAGGGGGGAGGGAGGGAATACGGCCATTCGTTTTAGATATTGCTGTACGAGTGATATTTTGGTGTTTGTAGCATCCCGTTACACGCTTTTGAAAACTGTGTTTTCTGGAATCCAGATTTCGGTCCAGCATCCCTTGAACGAACACAGGTTAGCGGTTTTGTATTGTACTGGTTAAATTTATAATCTACAGCCCAGATGCCCGCTGCAGCTGACTAACTTTCAGCTGTCTATACATACACACAGCACAATTATTATTATGAGGTCTAGCTCTTGCATTTTAGTTGGTTACTGCTAATGTTAAAAAAAATCCCATTCTTATCCCAGGTTCCTCTACGTTGAAGTTGGCCATCACGGAAGTGAAAGCGATGGGGGCATCTTTGCCCGCAGCAAGATCCAGCAGCTCATCGTCTCTGGGGAGCAGGGACTGCCTTTTCCAACAGCTGTTGGAGAGGAAGGGGAACTACCCTACTACCTGGTGGGGGACGAGGCCTTTCCGCTAAAACCTTACCTGATGAGGCCATACCCAAGAAAAAGTATGTAATGCCTGGCTTTTTTCATGCCGTATTTTTAGCATATCGTTCAAGAATAAAATAATGAACACCATGCCGCCACCTTTTATTGTAGTTGAATACAATTGCTTGAGAAAAGACATTTATCACTAATATACCGTATTTACTCGAGTAATAGCCGCACTATTTATGGACAGGGCTTTTGCATCTACTTTCCCACAGAACACATATACAGCCAATCATTGCACTGAGCATAAATAACATAGCGAATAGCCAGATCGAGAACACTATTCTCCATGCAAATGCAATCTTCGCAGATGGTATCTTCGCATGAAGACATTATCTCTGTGCTGTAAACAGCTGGTGCTTCGTCTCGGGCGATTCTGGTTTTTGCGCATGCGCAGTGCGCACACTTGGTGGGGGCAAACGCGGGCTTGTTCGTAAACAGTGTGCTGATAGATAGACTATACATGGCTTGCACTCGTGTCACATCAGTGGGCATCGTGAAAAACCTTGCCATTGTGCATGTACCCTGTGCAGGTTATGCTTTCGCACCACCAATTTTTTTCTCGCGGCCAGAACAAGTAGGAATGACTATTGCTGCAGTGCGAGGACATCACGTGCAAGCAATATAAAAATGTTGTTTTGGCTTGATTGCAGAAAGCAGTCCAGCCTATAAAGCCTATAACTCTGTGTTTTTGTTTTCGTCCGTGTTATGCACAATTTCTTTTATTATATTTCCACAAATGTAGTAATTTGGCCACACAAGCAAGCTACCCACCAAATATTATCTCATTATCGGGAATTTTAATGACATTTTAATTGCATGACCTTTATTCATTATGACAATGTTACAACATGCACTCTTTGTCTGGAGTGATCTTTAGCAGCTTCGTAGTTTGGTTATTAGGAAAGATTAAAAAACTTATAGAAAGTTTTCATTTGCACTTTTATCCTCCTTTGTATCATGCTCATGCAACTTCACATTACCACATTTGAGGTGCCCTTTCTTGAAGACTTCACAGCTCCTTTGCTAAGATATTGGCTCTAACATTACAGGCCTCACTGCAAGAGCTGAAGACACTCAAACTTCTGCCTCAGAGCCGTCCAATAAAGAACCACAAGACGATGGAGTGGATGACCAGCTTCCAGATGATGAAGGTGACACAAGTGACCAAGGAAAGAAAAGGGAGTTGAGGCGGCGACGGAAGATTTTTAATTACCGCTTGAGCCGTGGCAGGAGAGTCGTAGAGAACACGTTTGGAATTCTCGCCCAGAGGTGGCGAATATTGAGAAGACCCTTCAGGGCAAGCGAGGTGAATACTGACAAGATTGTTGCAGCCTGCGTTGTCCTTCACAATTTTTTGCTAAAGGAGTCTGAAGCATCGGCTGCCGCCTACTGCCCTCCTGGCACAGCCGACCAGGAGGACTGGGAAGGTCGAACAACTGAGGGCACGTGGAGAAGGGACGCAGCCAGCAAGAACGCTGGACTGCGAGGCATCCCCAGAAGAGGCTACGATTCAGCCAAGTATGTTTAATTTTGCTCGGTATGTTACTATAGTTGTGTTTATTTGTGTCAGGCTAGTAGAGGCAATGAAGCAGTTTTCAGTGGCTAAGAAAATGATGCGAGTCATTGGAAATGGGCCACATCAATATCAGCGATGTGATTGCTGCACCATTTGTGCCAAACTGCGCCGCTTACCCTGCTATATTTTGCCGAAACTGGGGGAATCTGCGCCAACGTTGCGCCTAAACTTTATTTCACCTTAATATTGCTGAAAGTCAAATAACTCGGGCCTCACCGCTCAACCGAACCGATACAATATGCTATGCGAGTTTTCAAAATGTTTTCTTTGTCGACTCAAATGACATACTATTCCATTGCATTTCTTACGAAAGACTGACAGTACTCGGAAGTTTCGCACGAATTACCATGTTCATCGTCCGTACTGCTGGAGGGTCGATTAGTCTCTTTGAGTGCGCTTTTCACCAGGCACTGGTGTACTGCAGAGAAGCGAAAAGCGTGTAGTACTCATGTACGATAATAATCCCTGGAGAATGGATTATTATAGTTTATTTTGTCCACCTCGCCTGCACCTTTGCATTAATAGCATTGATAAAGTTGGCATCGCGATTTTGCGTCTTGCTTCGCCGCAGTACACACTCCTCCACAGCCAGAGCCGTATATGGGGAGAGCCTGGCCATTGGGTGTGGCGACGAAGGTACCGGAGAGGAGAAAAGTGAAGGGAAAGGAGGAGAGTGCCGAAGGAGTGAGAGAGAAAGAAGGGAGCAAATAGGAGACGACCACCATTTTGACGCAACACTTGTAGGCGAAGAGCATTGTTGAGGCTACGCGTCGTCCCACTCAGCTGGGAAGCAGCCGGGAGTTCTTGCACATGCGCTCACGCCTTGCGCCGCCGGCTGATTGGCTCGCGCGGGAAGGGCCGCCAATTGGCCAGAATGGCGTCAGCGTTACGACCTGTTTCAGTCTATTTGAAACATCTCCAATCATTTCCTTGATTTGATATTTGAGGTTGTTTTATTTGCAGGGAGGCATACGAGATGCAGGACAAGCTTGCCCACCATTTTGTGACTGGAGGTGCTGTCCCCTGGCAAGACAAGATGGTCATGGGGCCTTGTGACAACTGACTTAGAACAAGAAGTCTCTTTTTCACACTTTATTAGTTTGGCACTCAGTAGTCTGGGCCGTAGAAATGCTCCCGCTGAGCTTTGTAAATCAGATCCTCGATATCATGCATTATCTCAATTTGTTTTGTATCGTGAAGTGTCCTTATTCTCCCGGCAAGGGACGCACAGAAGTGATGAACTGGATCTTCGAAGCCACCTGCCTTCCTCGCACGCCTCTCCCGTATCTCCTCCAAAAGATTTACGCAGGTGCTAACAGGGTCCTGCATGTTGGATCCGCTTGAATGTGGCCTGATGGAACGAAATAGTGTAAGACAGTTTTATAATAACTAGAGATTGTTCACCTTGCTTTGTTGATCAGCTGCTGCTGCTGGTCTCTTGGCTCCTCTTGTTGCCTGCATTTGTTTGAGTGAAGAGGACAGAACAGCAGCTCGTTTTATTTCCCATATGTATATATCCCCTGTGTTAATGTTGTGTAATGACTTGTGACTTTAGTTTTAACTTCCTATGCAAATTATGAAATTCAAGATTAGGCCAAACCTTTGGCAGGCAGAACAAACTTAGATTAGAAAAGTGAGGCTTACACTGGGCCGTCTTGCTCCGCAAGGTTTGGCAGAATGCTGTCAGCAGGCCTGCCAAAGAGTAAATGCAATGAAGCTTTGATGCAAGGTCGTGCGGCTTTAATAAAATGATCCTAATGTCAACTCACGACTCCATCTCGCTGTCATCGTGCCGAGTATTCCTTGAAGAAAAAAGGTATTCGGCCATCAAACTATATCAACTGTAGCTTTCAGCAGAGCACTGAAACACTTAGGACCCACCTTCCACACCCCAGGTGTCCACCGCTGCTAGTGGCACCGCTGGTGCTGGCACCGCTGGTGCTGGCACTACTGCTGGTGGCACCACTGCTGGTGGCACCACTGCTGGTGGCACCACTGCTGGTGGCACCACTGCTGTTTTGAGCACCACAATAATAAATCGTTGAATGACAACAAACACATGTGAAACATGACTACTTTGTTCATCTTTTTGGTTACTTTTTGTTGTGGTATGAATATTCAAGAAAAACTTTTTCAACAAAGGGACAATGCAAGATGTCTCGCTTCGTTGAAAGTGTTTCTTGAATTTCCTTTTAATTTTATCTATTTAAAACATTTGTGTGACTAACCTTTCCTCTTCATCAAACTGCAGGTTTGTGTGAAGTCTGAAATCGCATGGGGAGTAATAATATAGAACTTCAGTTATAAAATTAACATTGATTTCATAAGAGGCATGGTTACATACATTGGACTGGGGGAGACTGGTTCCATGATCTCCATCATCTGCATAAAGTGAGGCCATGTTATTTTGCCCACCTGGGCTGCTCCCGCTCCACTTTTCATGGAGCATGTTATCTTGTTCTTGTGTTTTTGGTACGTGTCTTTAGCATTTTTAAACTTGTTGACGAGGTCCACACCTGCAGAAATGAAACGGTCATTCATTAACTGCTAACAGCAAACCGTGACTGGCTGTAAAAAAATGATTGAATAATGGGTGAGGCCATGTTCTATTTATTTTTGCAGGCTGAAAGCGTTAACCTGGGTTGGCAGCGCGAGTATTGCCTGAAGTAAGCAAATGTCCGGTCCAACACGTTCTCATAAGAAAATATATCTGGGCGAAGGCCCTCGAACAGCTGAATACTGACATATTAGCGTCGCACTAGAATGAGGGATGTTCAGAATTCACAATTCAAGAACATGTGTTTACTTATTTGAGACTTCTAATGGAACGTGAGCGGTTTTCGGGGCACGACCAGGACCAACTTATAATCCGCGTCACAAGAAAGCACCGCCGGAGCTAGCTCACGAGCGGAGTGGCCAGTCGTGTCTCAAGCGCTCGCGCGCCCCAGGCTTCAGCAGGCTTTCTTCACTCGGCCGAGACGCCGATTCAAGCACGCCGTCCCAGTTGCCAGTTGCTAGAGACCGTCCCAGTCTCTAGAAAGCACCGCCAAAGCTAGCGCACGAGCCGAGTGGCACGTGAAGCCGAGTCGCAAACGCTTGGCAAGCTTTCTTCAAACAGCCATGCTGATTCTAGCAAGCAGGCCCAGAAGCCCAGATCGCGCTCGGCGTATACAAGCGAGTACGATCAGGTCGTTCAGTTGATTCATATATTCGGAAAAAGTTGTCCTTCACTTTGACGCGCGTAGCTTACGTGAAATGAAAATGGTACGTACCAGGTATCCCTCCCAGGCTCTCGCCGAGCATCGTCCACACTTCATCTTTATACTTGATATCCTTAAATTGTGGATGTCTCTTGTCGTACAAGACGGGGTATTGTTTGATTACATCCAGAAGAACATCAGTCCTCATATTAGTCTACTTTTTTTGCGTTAGGCTTAGCCAATTTGGCGACGGTACTCGCGACGGGAGCCATGTTGGAATGAGATCCCGAGATGCTGACGTGACGTCAGCCTCAGTGTCGCGTTGTGATTGGTTGCCGCTTTGCGGTTCGGGAAAGCGGTTGGGAGAAATCGGTCCCGAAGCGGTTGGCAAAAACGCGCCCCAACCGCTCGATCTCAGCCGCTTTGCGGTTAAGAACGCGCGGATCCGCTTCGCGAACGCGGATCCGCTTACAGTGTGAACGCGCCATTAGTGAGTTTTGACTCAAGCGGTTTGGGGGTTCCTGGAAAGGCGCCACTGAAATGACCTCGCAGCTGGGCGCCTGTTCCCATGGTCGCCTCGTCGTCAGCGCATACGCCTTTTCAAAGCCGGACTCCCCCATGGACAAACGCAGACACGGATAATCCGTTCATGGGGGCACGTTCTCGCTTCCAGCTGCAATTGTACGAGCAACAATGCTTGTTCACGTAGTCCTTTGCGTCCTCCCGACCTTCCACGCCAGGGAGACCTCCTCTTTGTTTAAAGCGATTTGCTTGTCAGGCGTGCCAGGCTCGTCAAGATACCGTAGTCGCCGGCGAAAATTGCGAGTCACCCTTGGGAATGCAGCATCCTCCCTGTTGGACCCGGCGTCAGCGGCGAAGTATACTTCGTTTCATCGTCTGTTAAACCAAAACAACGTTTCCTTGTTTCCTTCTTTTTCAGTATCGTAGCACTAGCACTGCAACGAGACGCGCAGACGTCCGGATGATCTCATCGTCGCGGCGTGAACCCTTGACAGTCAGGTGCACGTACTCGCTCATCGTACTTCCCGAACGTCGTGGGAATAAAGAGGGGCCAGTCATAACAATCACAACTTGCTGAAGAAAAAAGAAAAAAGGAGGGGAGTTTGTTACAAAAGACCCTCAAGACCCGAGTCAAACCTCACATGCCTCCGACCTCGCACAGCCTGTTTCTCAAATTCAACGCTGCCGTTCCATCCAGCGCGTCGGTGGAACATCTTTTTAGCTTGGCTGGGAACGTCTTTAGGAGGGAAAGGGGAAAACCCTTCTATCAAGAACTTTGAGAGTCAATTGCTTCTGCGAGCGGATAAACTATTTTCGTGAAAACGCAAGCAATAAAGTGACGGCATTTATTTTAGGCTCGCAGCGTTTTTTACGGATCAGAACTGCTGTTCATTTTGCTACCACAAAAATATAAAAAAGTAACTTCGAAAGTAACTTCAAAGTAATTCGCTACTTTTTACAGTAAGTAGTTTGCTCAATTACCATTACAAATGCGTAATATCGACTCTACTCCAATTACTTTTGGGGTCGATATTCAGTAACTTAGCTTAACTACGTTTTTTGAGTAATTTGTACATGTCTGGTTCATTCACACCTTCTCCAATTTCCGGTCCGTTGGAAACTTGTGAAAAAGCACCTCCGGGTTGCGCAGCGGGTTGTTTGAGCAGCCCACAGCGCTACAAGTTGCACTCGGCATACTTCGCGGAACAGCGTGGCAGTCTTGGGCGCACCGAGTTGCTCGCTAAAACGAGTCTTGGAGTCCTCACAAAGCAAATAAACAAAAGGCTATACACCAACTCAACTCTCCTACGTCACGCCGCGGTGGTGGCGCGTCGGACGCACTTCCGGTCTGGGGCGGTGGGCAGAAGTCGCCGTGCGAGACATGCATTCTTGTGTTCTTTTCGGAGAAACCAGACAAAAAACCTGCGTTCTCGTCAAAATGCTGCGACGGGGGCTGTGCCAAAAGAGACTGGAAAGGTTTGAGATCAGTTTTACTGTGTTTCTGCCCCCTCCGTTCGTCCGAGTACGTAGATAGTAGCCGTGAAAAGGGTAAACCAGACGCTGTCGAACTACGATTGCTTGTGCTTGCAACACTTTTTGGTCGCCAGATGTATTTGTTTTGTTCCAACATGAACGCGAGAAAACCGCCAAGTTGTCCGCCCCCCCGCGGGTTCAGTGCATCTTCAAATTCACACGGCCGCCTGATCGTTCGAATTTTCGTCTGCTCTTTCGAACTTGTCTGCTTTTTGTCGTCTGCTCGTTCAAACAAAAGCGGCCCGTAGACCAAACTTTGACCCGATGATTGCAATAAGAAATAATTGCAGGCCTCAAACGACTTAAGTAGGCTCGGTGTAAACAGTACATACAAGATGTTGATCATTGGTACCAGTGGCCATCACCGACTTGTTACGCTTGGTGTGTTTCCGCTTCCGAATTTCAGTATCGACGTCGATCATCGCCGCTACCTTCTACACTTTTGCAGCACGAGCGACGTCGCGACCGAAAATATCTAGAAGATTCTCATCGTGGTTTTGGCGTCCATTCTGTGACGTTCACGCCAATGAATCGCCACACGTCAAATTATTTACGCAAAGTTTAGCGGTGTAACGAGCCTTGATAGTTTCGCTCAGGCGATTAAAGTGGTAAGACAATGCTATGGGGACGTAGATTCGACAATTCCAACGCGAAAAAGAGTATGCAGACTCACACAGACGCCGACAACGTGACATTTTAAAGGTTCGTGGACGCGGGACGCCGTGCTTCTTGCCCGCACTCCATTTCGCATGCGTTCGAACTGTCGTCTGCTCTTTCAAACTTGTCTGCTTTTTGTCGTCAGCGCGTTCAAACAACAGCGGCCCATAAACCAAACGTTGACCCGGTAATTGCGATAAGAACTAAGTGCAGCCCTCAAAACACTTTTGAAGCTTGGTTGGGGTAAGTAGGCTAAGTGTAAACAGTAGATACAAGATGTTGATCATTGTTACCAGTGGCCATCACCGATTTGTAATGCCCGATTCTACTTGCGGTTTTCAGTATCGACGTCCACCATCTCAGCTAGAATCCACGCTTTCGCAGCCCGAGCGACGTCGCAACTGAAAATAGCGAGCAGAATCTCATCGTGGGAGTCAGGCTTTAGCGCCCATTCTGCGGCGTCCACGTGAAATGAATCGCCGCAAGTCACATTATTCACGCAAAGTTTTGCCTCGTTAATTTTGTTGAAGCCGCTTAAGTAGTCAGACATTGTTAGGAGGACGTAAAATCAACAATTCAAACGCGAAAAGGAGCACGGGGACTCCCACCGAGATCGAAAACAACGCAATGCAATGGTTTGCTTATGGGGCGGAGGCGGGCTTCTTGCCCACCGTCCACCGCGCATGCGCGGCGCGGATGGCGTCCGGTTTGTAAACATGAGTTGGTGTATACCGAAGCTACACGGGCTACAGATAAAAGCAACGGCTAAACACGCCAATCACAAGCCGAAGTAGCGGTGGTAGCGGCTCAAAGGAGCGCACTCTGCGCAACGCCCGGACCGGAGGAAAAAAAGGGAACGATACTGACGTCATGGCCCAATGTTGCTTTAGCGATCGGCAAGCCGCTGGCCGCCCGCTAAGGAGCAGCGGCTCGCGACGGGTCGCAATTTTATTATCGTCATTGGTTGAGAATGCGGCGTCCCACGGACGTAATATTTTGGCTGTGGTCGTATTTTGTATCACTACAGTGATACCAGTAATTTATTTCATTTTGAGTTACGTCCGGAGTTGCCCTTTAAGCTAATCAAAAGGGTGGAGCGAAACGCGTGACCCGGCGTGACCTCTCTACGTGGGACGCGTAGGACAAAAACGTTTGGACGAAAATTTGTCACGTGACTTTCTCTGTCACGCTGATGGGATCTCTGGGGCTGTTGCTTTCGCCGTTTGCCTAGTTATAGAAATAGACGGGCCACGTACGTCCGGCTTTCGAACTGCGCTCTTCAGTGTTTTGTTGCTTTCGTGCGTTGCAGACGCGGCCCTGTTTTTTCGTCATAAACGGTCGGAATACGTCCATACCAATTTTTCGGTAATAGCTATTTTTTTCACCGGAGTTCATCGAATTCTTGTGATGTGCTTGTTGGACACGCTTCGACAAAAACTGATCTTCGCCGACGACAAAACGTCAGTTGAATGTGCGTAACCTTCTTTCTCGAATGTGTTTGTGGGGTGCCTGAGTTCGATTGTGCATCTATCAAGGATTACATGATATCGCTTTTTTTACTAGTAAGTACACTGCAAGCATGCTTTTGATAGTAGTCCTGCTTTCCTTTCAATCTCCGCGGTTTTTTGTGTGATGCGTTTTGCTTGGCATGGGGACAGTGTTAATTCTATTTTATAATTTGCTTTTCGTTTTACAGAGAAGTGTGACCTTTGTAAATATGTCGATAATACAGTGTGTCTAATGATAATGGTTTAATAAACTTCTGGGAGCAATCGACAAAATTTTGTTTGTCCGTATATGTGATTGGATATGCAACAAATGATATGCAACATACAGATACTTGCACTACGTTCAGCCAATACGGAGCAGACGCATCGTAGAGTATTCGCACAATATTGCGCGAACGCTAGACCGGGGCAAAACAGCTGTACGGCAATACCTGCCGGATATCAAACGGTGGTGAAAAACTGGACATTTGAGCGATATTGGAACCGACTTGGGGCCGGCACTGGCACGATGCTGCAAAGTATTGCCGTGCGGCTTTGGAACGGAGGTGATGACATCTTACCATCGTGTTTCCAACGCTTATTTAATTCAATTCTCTTCTGGGACGCCTGAAAGAGCACTTTTGTGACACACCAAAGATATTCGAAACTTGGGCAGGCATCTCGGCTTTCTTTGCCACTTTTGGCACTTACTTGGCACTTCAGTGGGTAGCCAGAGAAAAGCCAAACTTCGGCAACCCCCGAATCGCCAAATTAAGATTTACTGCGGCAGTTATGGCTCAAGTCTGGCACTTACTTTGGCAGAACTGTGGCGCACCAGAGGAAAGCCAAACTCGGCGTGGCCGAAATACCGAAATTAAGCGTTGCTTTGGTAGTTATGGCTCAAGTATGGCACACTTCGGCGTTCCTGTGGCGTACCAGAGAAACGTCATACTTTGGCGTGTCCGAAATACCCAAATTAGGCGTTGCTGTGGCAGTTATGGCTGAATTA